TGTGGTAGGTATAACGATTCCAGTACCAGGTAGAAATAAGACTCTTAATGCTTAAGATTGTCCAGTGGATTTATATATTAGCAAATGCTCAATGCACAAGATGCCCACACAATCAGAATTGTTAACCCAGTTACCTAACCTTGATATGAATAACTGCTAGAGACAGGAGGGTAACATCTCCTGCCATCTTTCCCCTCCTCCTCCTTCTCTCCTTCCTCTCCTTCCTCCTCCCAACTCCTAGCTCCACCTACCTCTTCTCTATCCAATGACAGAGCTTCTGCCACATAATTCAGTCTTGACCTTGAACTCATGACAATCCTCCTGCCTCAGCCTCCCGAGTGCTAGGATTCCAGGTGTGTGCCACACACCTGTTTTCTGCAGTGTTTTGTTTTCTTCTGTGTTCTTCAGACAGAAGCTCATGCACTCGCGGGCTCTTGGCCTTCCTGCCTCCACATCCTGTCACTGTTAACACAGACTGTGAAGCAGGATTTCACTTTCTTATCCATTTCACGTCTGTTACCTCAGCTCCATTTGTGTACCTTCTGTGTTTTTCCTGCTGCTTTGTTAACTTATTATCAATGCTCAACACTCAAAAACATTTGACTTTACCCTGAACTCTTTTTCCATTAATGAATTCACTTATTTATTTTAATTCAAAACTCACATTTAGTCTTTTGGAGGGAGAGGGTTGGTTTTTTTGGATCATTTTATATATTTATCTATTTATTTATTTATGTATTTACTACTGGGGGACATGTATGTCATAATACACATGTGGTGATCAGAAGGCAACTGCACAAGATCAGTTTATCTATCTAACTATATGTGGGTTCTGGGGATCGAACTCAGAGAGCAAGCACATTTATCCCATAAGCCATCTCACCAGGCCAGGAGCGTTTTTACTTACTTTTGAGTCAAAATCTTGCTGTGTAGCCCGGGATAGTCTCAGACTGAAGCTCCTCCCAAGTGCTTGGATTCACCACCTACACCACCATGCCTGGCTCCAAAAGTCACCTGGTCTCACCTGTGAGGCCTCTCTGAGCGTTCTGAAGTGTGTCTGAGCGTTCTGAAGAGCTAGTTTTAAACGCTCTGAGCCCTTTGCATATTTTCACTCTTCCCCTAGACTTTAGACTCAACTTGTCAAGTTCTAAGGGACAAGGACATTAGGTTTTGAATTTGATGGACATTCTGTTTGGAGATTATTTGGACAAGAACCCATCTCTGTGCAACATTATATTTTCAGTTTTCTCATTCCCTAATAGGACACTTCTTTGTATTTCCATAGGCCTTATTTTTATATTGGCCAGTAAAAGCCTATTGTTTTTCTGATGTGGATTCGTGTTTCTTAGTAAACTTACTGGTGGGCTGCAATGTCATTGCTGTGTGGAGGTGTGGGTCTTCTGTGTCTGTTTATTAATTTCTAACATGAGGTGTGGCTATGACGCTGGGGCTGGTCTTAGATCCAATCCTCCAGTTCTCAGACTGGGGTTACAGATGTGCAACTCCACACACGGCCGTTGTTTCCTATTTTGTTTTCAGTTGCGTAGAAACGACTTTGACTCTTACTGCCCTAACTGCTCTTCGGCTACCCAAGGAAATTTGCCATCTCTAGCAGTCTTTCCTCCGACTCTGATTTCTTTTTCTCTTTCTTTCTTTTGTTTTGTTTGATTTGTGTTTTGTTTGGTTTTGGTTTTGGTTTTGGTTTTCAAGGCAGAATTTCTCTGTGAAGCCCCGGCTGTCCTGGAACTTGCTCAGTAGACCAGGCTGGCCTCAAACTCTCAAAGATCTGCTTGCCTCTGCCTCTTGAGTGCTGAGATTAAAGGCCACCACCGCCCAGTTCTTAAACGTCTGCATCATTTGCAAAATGTATATCCTTCCTTCTTCTACTTATACCTGATAAATAATTTTGTCACCAGTAAAATGAGTCAATTCAAGACAGATTAGATTATATTAAATGTAAGTTTATTGAGAAGCTGCTTTTGGGTCAGTTCACTAGCCCCAAGGGCTGAGACCAGAGAAGCCATCATGGGAAGGGATTGAAGGAGAAAGAGAAAGAGAGAAAGGGTGCACATGTAGAGAGAGGGAAAAGAGAGGGAGACCAAACTGTCTGAATTATATAGGGAGGAGCCTCTGGGGGAATCGTAACCCAGCTCCTGGGCTGAAAAGTCAGGGTTGGGAGCATGGTATGCCATGTAGGGACTGAGGGATGCTGGAAGAACCTGGAGGCCAGGCCTGCTTTGATATATAAAATATACACCTTAGTTTCTTGTCCCAAGTTCAAAACCAAACAACACCTCCTCCCTATATCACTTGTTTCCTTTTCCCCGCTGAGACTGGCTGTCCTGGAACTCTCTGTAAACCAGGCTGGCCTCGCAGAGATCCCCTGCCTCTGCCTCCCGAGTGTTGAGATCAAAGTGTGTACCACCATCACCTGGCTTTTGTTTTTCCCATTATCTTAAAACAAAACTCTTTTATTATATTTAGTTATTTATTTGGGGGAGGGAAGGAGCCTCATGTCAGGACATATGTGTACAGGTCAGAAGGTAACTTGCAGGAGCCAGTCAGCTCCTTTCACAACACAGGTCTCAGGGATTGAGTGCAGGTAATTTGGTCTTGGCTGCAAGGGCCTTTACTATCTTTTTTGGGTTTCCTGGTTCTCTGTGCCTAAAATCTCCATGCAGAAATACTTGTGAGTCTAGAAATGACAATCATCCCTGGATACATCAGACAGAGCAACAATTCCCAAACACACAAGACAGTCTTGGCCACACCACTTCTCTGTGAAACTCCATTCAGTATTGGTTGTCTGGTAATGGAGCTTTTCCTAAAACAGTTCCCCTTAAAGAAAGACAGCTCATCAGCCTTAGAGAGAGGTGAATTGACTCCGATTCTCTGGCCTAACCCCAGAAAAGATATCCTCTTCCCAAGCTATGCAAGCATGCCTGCGTCATCCCCTACCCCAGAGCTCGTATAGGGAAAGGAAATACATATTTATTGACCATCAGTTCCCACCGAGGGTTGTGCTGGGAACCATGAACGTAAGTGTTTTTTAATCCTTCCAATAACTCTGTAAATGACTTCCTGAGATGAGGACCAAGCCCAAGTGTAGAGAATCAGACAGGTAACCATTATGTACAAATACATCCACTGAGCCAGATGTGGTGGAGCATGTGCCTGTAACTCCACAGCTCAGGAAGCTGAGGCAAGAGGATGGTAGAGAGTTCTAGGCTACAGTGTAGGACTCTGTCTTAAGATCAAGATATCTCCAAATGGTCTCTGCTCATTCTCTCTCTCTCTCTCTCTCTCTCTCTCTCTCTCTCTCTCTGTCTCTCTCTCTCTCTCTCTCTCTCCCCCACCTCTGTGTGTGTGTGTGTGTTTGTGTATGTGTGTGTGTTTATGTGTGTATGTGTGTGTTTGTTTGTGTGTGTGTTTGTATGTATGTGTTTGTGTGTGTGTTTGTGTATGTGTATGTGTGTATGTATGTGTGGTGGGTGCACGTTTGTTCATGGGTGCACTCACCTGTGCATGCGTGTGTGAGGACCAGAGGTCAGTGCTATCAGTCTTCCTCATTCAGTCTTCACCTTACTTTTTGAGGAAAGGCATCTCACTGAACCTAGAACTTGTCATTTTGGCTAAACCGAGTGCCTGGGGATCCTCCATCTTATAGATGTGTCCTGCCAGGCCTGGCTTTTACATGGGAGCTGGGGACCCAAGCTCAGGTCCTCCTGCCTCCACCTCACCCACTGAGCCATCTCCCTGACCCAAGATGTCCTCATGTGTTTCCAGCCCACTCCATGCTTGTTCTACAAGACCTGACCCATCTTCCAGCCATAACCCCACTGTGTCTTTAGAGGGAGATACTGTGAATGGGGAAAGTAGACCTGCTGCACCCTGGGCCAGAGGCTGTGTCTCAGGCCCCAGTAAACAGTAGTTTTATCCTACCAGTCCTTAGCTTCAGGAAGAGGGATAGGTAGGCAGATAGGAGGAGGAGGACAAGAGGAGAGAGAGGGAAGGAGGGAGGGAGAGGATGGGAACATGAAACACCAATGGGACAAAAAAAAAAATCTGTGGAGGAGCAAGGACAGGTCCCAGGCCTATTCAGGTAAGAATTGTGGTGGCTACTTCCTAGACCCACCAGGCACTGCACCCCAACTGCGGATCCTGAGGGGCTGAGGACCAGCAACCACTCAGAAATCTCCATTCTGTAGATCATGAAGAGTGACTGAGAGGACGATGACATAGAACTAAGCAGTCTCCGTCCCTACCCACACCCATACATGGGGCAGGATGACCCGGAGCAGAGACACATGGCTATAAACTCAACGACACATAGCATGGAGACACAGGCCTGAGTACAGGGCCAGAGCCACAGATGCACAGTCATTAGAGAAGACACAGATGCAAACAGACAGTCCCTGAGAGGACCTGAGGAGAAGCAGCCATGCCCAGAGACATGGGACGGAAGTCACATGGATTTGGGGGTACACACTGACACACATAAGGTCAGATAATTTTGACATGTGATGAGCCAACCCTGTGGACGTCTCCCAGAATCACTGCTGGTCCACACTATATCTGGGAGGACTTAGTGCTGTAACCATGTGCTGCTTCCCAGAACCCCCTTACCAGCACCATGAACACACATGTGACGGCTGGGCTCTCCTGACACACAAGTGCATGTCCCAACAGGCCTGGGCCCCACCCATGGGGGCTGACATCTCTGTTCTGGGGTGCAGGTGGGGGCTGCAGAGCCACCCCTTCCCCCTCAAGCCACAGGCCATGCCCGCTGGCAGAGACTGGGGGCCCAGGCTGGTGCAGTAGGGGAGGGCTGGGGGGCCGGGCGCGGCCAGGGCGGGCACAGGAGCCAGTACCTGTCAAACAAGAGCCAAGGAGCAAACTAGCTTCTTAGTCACCTTTCTCTTCTCCCCGTTTTTGGCAGCAACCCCTCGGGGCAAGGGGAAGCTGATATCATAATTATTGGCTCACCCAGCAGCTGCCTCCCCTCACCTGATGTCAGCGCAGACCCAGGACAATCAGGCTGACGGACTGACAGACGGTCGGAGCTCCTGGCCCCTCAGACCCAGGCCCCCACGCCGACCTGCTTCACTGAGCAGGTAAGAGGAGACCTGGCCCAAGTCAGCCGTGGAGGCCAGCAGGGGAGGGGGCTTGGCTTTTTAATGGGCCCCAGGAGGCACCGGGTGTTCCTCAGCATCTCACTGCCTCTCCAGGGAGTCTCGGGATCAGGGTGAGTGCCTGGAGGCTGAGGGGACCCCTCTTCCATGTTCCTCTCTCTTTCCTGGCACAGGCCTTCCAACTTTGATCCTTCTTGCTGTAATGTAAGACGACTCTGTCCTGCCGTGTGTGGTGGCTCTGTGTGGTGGCACCCCCCCACCCTGGGTTGGGAAGCAATGATGACTCCAGATGGACAGCTAGAGTTCAAAGATAGACAGGCAGACCCCCAGCCATGGACTGGGTGGCTGTCTGGGTGGAATGTCAGGGACCCAGCTCTGGCAACTTGCCCCATCTCTCTGGAACACCTGGGCTGGGGTCCGCACGACCCAGATTCCATGGGAAGGCTTGACGTGCAGAAAGGAGATTGGTGCACCTTGTGCAGAAGCAGACAGGCAGCAACAGGTGCTGCGGCTGGGAGCCGATGCTGAGCCGGAGGCACACCTCTCTGAGCGCCGGAGATGTTTCTCTTCTTTAAGATCACTGCAATAGAGGAGTGGCCAGCAGACCTGAGACAGGCAGAGAGTTCACAGACCTCCCACCCCAACCTAAAATAGAGAAATCTAGCAGCCAGAAACCCCTTTAGCTACTGAGACTACCCTCTGCTCCGTACCTGACCAGGCAAAATCCTGGAATTTGCTGTGAAGCCTCCGAACTCTCCTTCAGTGTCCAAAGAAGCACATTGGGTTAAGGCTAGAGCAATAAGTGGGCGTGTTTGCCTCTTCACTGTGTACCTACAAGTGCAGGGGACATGTCTGGGTATGTGCAGTGGCAGGGTACAGCTGTTCAGCAAGAAAGGACCAGATGGGGAAGATGCCTCCCCTTGGGACACCATCTCATCTGTTCCGTACCTCCGTGCTGGGTAGCTCCCTCAACAGACAGAGCTCAGTCCTCTCTGTGTTCTAAACTGTTCAGGAGGAGAGTCAGTGAGTTCTCTCATAGCTTTTTTGAAATCATAACTGCTGTAGCATCCACCTCTAGTTTCTCCACTTCCTTCTCTTTCTTTTACTGATGAAGCCCAGTTTCCCTGCACTGACTGACGAGCATGGGGTAGAGAGGGTAGCAGTGAACTCTAGCCCTATCCCCACTGGGCTTGGCAAGAGCTTTTTTCCCATCCTGACCTACAGAACAGGACAAGATGCTGATGGTAGAATGGCATCCCAGCTGATGAGGCAGGGTGGCACACAGTGTCTGGCTCTTCTTTCTTGTGGCTCTGTGAGGGACTAAGATGGAGCTGAGCTGGGTCCAGAGGAACAACACAGGGTCCAAGTGCTGCCCTCGGTGGAGGATCCTCAGGGGTGAAGATGCCATGGGGAGGGGCACTTGCCCTCCCAGCTCTCCACCCGGCCCCGCCCGGGCAGCCTATGTGGAGCTCAGCTCCAGGCTGCAAGGCCTGCCGAGGCACGCTGCACCCCCAGGCCTCTCGCCTCACTCCGGGCCAGGAACCTGTTCTCCCGGGAATGCTGGGGAGTTCTCAGAGGACTTTAGTTCCCAGGGGTTTAGGGAGCCCAGAAATCCTCTGGACCAGTGAGTGAAGCCATGGAAAAGCAAGAAAATGGAAAGCCTGGGGAGAGGGGGTCACAAGGGCCCATCGCTGTCTTCATCTGTGTCTATCCACGCACAGATCCCACACTTCCCCCAGCTGACAGCTTTTATTGCTCTTCATGAGAACGCAGCCTTGGGACAGTTAAAGACAAAAGAAAAAGCCCCTCGTGGCACATGCTTTCTGTCACATGACATCCCTTGGCCCCCATGGAAAGTCCCTTCTGCCCTCTAAGAAAATGACAGGGCATCATCCCACTTGGACCCAACAGCTCCCAGCCAGGGAGTCTTTTCTGCTAGCCTTTCGTTTTCTGACTTGTGTTGAGCCTGGTCTTCATGGACCAGCAGAACCCCCACTACCTGCCCTGAGTCTACATACTTAGTCAGAGCCTGTTCCTCAGTACATAAGAGTCCTGGGGAATTCTCGACCTGCTGCCCTGTCGTTCTACCCGGCACCGTATTCTGACAACACTGGGGCCACCTCTTTTGTCTATTTTTTGAGACATGATTTCCCTATCTAGCCCAAGCAACCCTGGAACTTACAATGATCCTGCTGCCTCAGCCTTCTGATTGCTGGAATTAAAGGTGTGAATACCCCACTCACCTTATGGGCCACTTCTGGTTCCCCATACCAAAGGGACAGAGAGGATAAAGGGCAGAGGCCATCATCCCTGTTGAAACCTGCCAGGCTTCCACAATGGGAGATGGTGACTCCGGGGAAATAGTTCAGCATTTTAAGTTTAGTTGTTGCATGCAGCCAATGTAACCCCAGAAGGCAGCTTCCAGCACTGACCCGGGATGAATCGTCAGGCAGCACACTCAGCACAGGGAAAGACTTGCTGAGCTCTGAGAGACTAAATCCCAAACGTGCCCGTCCAGTGACCCTCCAGTAAGTTGCACTCCTATCCCTTCCAGCCTGCCTTGGTCCCTGCCACTTTCTGCAACCCAGCCCTAAACCCATCTCCCTTTACCAGCCCTCAGTTTGTATCCCGGGCTTGACTTGAGTGGGAGCTTCTGCTGTGTGGGTCTCCTGAGTCTACATGTGCAGCCATGACCCCTGGCCCTCCCTTATCTCACTTGCAGCCCCAGCTCAGCCCCGCTTCCTTCCCACCTTCTCTCCCTATCCTCAACTTTACCAAAGTCTACACAATCCTGTCTCCTACTTCCTGTCTTTATTTCTTTCTCGGCTCCCCCACTCCTTCCACCCTCCCTCCTACCACACTGATCCCATCAGTACCCCCACAGGATGGATGGGCATTCCTGTGCACAATCCCCAGGGAATCTAGAATCTCTCCCAGTGTTCCCTAATTTATTCTCTGAACTGAGAAGCCCAGAGGCATGTCCCAGGGACAAACGGATTGTATGGGATCATCCTCTAGAGAAGCTCTCGGCTTCCTGATCCCATGTGGGATCTAAAAAGCTGGATGCTGACAGACAGGAAATTGGACTTCAGCTGGAGTATAGCTTGGTGGGAAATCCTGTACTTTATAGGTCTGTGGTCCTGGATGCCAGCCTGAGCCCCCAAAATAAAAATGAGACCATCTAGGTGAGTTCAGATACAAGACAAGTGTCTGATGCTGCAGCTTTGTAGTCAGCAAAACAAAGCGGGGGAGGGGCTGGAGGAGTAACTGATCCATCAGACATGGCCAGGCCAAGGCAGGAAGATGGACAGCAGCTGAAGCAAGGCTGGCTGGGTTCTTTAGGAATGAGTGCCACTGTCATGAGTATCCCCCAGTCTCTACCCCGCCTGTAGCTCTTGCTTAGTCAGCTCAGATTAATGGGACTGGGGAAAGAATTAGCTGAATCGTGATCTCTCGGGGAACTAGAACCTGCTATGAGTCACAGGGAAGGGAACCTGAGCTCTCAGGGAGATTCTGAAAGCTCCCTGGGTGTGTGTGGGAGGGTAGGGGGTTATTCCTTAAGGCCTCTCTGAGATGCTACCTAGGGCCTGATTGCTGGGATCCACGGCCCTGACTCTCTACCTTGCAGAACGATAATGTGGTTAGCTAGCTACCAACATGCCCTCAAAAACCTTCCAAGGGCCTTCGGCACTCTCCCAGCCTGAAACCACTATATGTGACAAACTGCAGCCAGCCTAGCACCAACACATAGTCAGTTTACTTGGCACCATCACACAGTCAGTATACACACAGATACCCAGAGCAAGGCGTGGCCCTGGAACAAGATTGCCTGCAGACAGATGAAGTCCCACCTACACTTGTAAATTCCACAGCCATGTCCCAGACTGGAGCAGCCTATCAGGTTCAGCTCCATAGGATGTGAACAAGGATGAACACACATACACACACACACACACACACATCATTGTGATGTGAAGATCAGTTTTCACACTTGTCAACTCTCCTCTGCACACAGTCAGAAGAACTACATCAGTGTTCAGTCAGTGGTAGTATATACCCCAATCCTCTATAGAAGGGGTCCTACAGTCTACCCTGGGCACCTACAGATCAAGTGACTTAGAGAGATGTCTCTTATAATCCCAGCAGTGAGCAGACTAAGGCAGGAGGATTGCTGAATTTGAAGCCAACATGGGTAGTCCAAGCTACATGGTGAATCTGAAGTCTGTCTAAAAGAAAAAAGAAAAACAAACAAATAAAAAGAACAGTGAGGCCGGGCGGTGGTGGCGCATGCCTTTAATCCCAGCACTCGGGAGGCAGAGGCAGGCGGATTTCTGAGTTCGAGGCCAGCCTGGTCTACAGAGTGAGTTCCAGGACAGCCCGGGCTATACAGAGAAACCCTGTCTCGAAAAACCAAAAAAAAAAAAAGAACAGTGAGGTAGTGGTGGCACATGCTTTTACTCCCAGAACTCAGGAAGCAGAGGCAAATGGATCTCTGTGAGTTCAAAAAGAAAAAGGAAGAAAGAGAAGAGAAAAGAGAGAGAATCTGCACTTTGATGGTTGCTTAGAGTATGAGGGGTTGGGAGAGGAAATCTGGGGTGACAGAAAAGCCAGAAGATCGTAGAGAGTGAGTGTCAAGGAAAAAGGTGGAACCAAGTAGCAGCGCAGCTCAGGAAGTCCCTCTGAATCTCTCACGTCTTCAAGGGCATGATGGGACCTCAGAGCCAGCTCAACATGACCAGCATCCGGAGGAAGGAGTGATGTATACGACACACCTGGCTAACAAGTCATCCCTGGCCTGGCATGGCAGCACAGGTCTCTAACCCCAGCTACTCAGGAGGCTGAGGCAGGCAGAGAAGATGTTCAAAGCCTGCCTGGGACACATAGTGAGTTCAAAGTTAGCTTAAGCAATTTAGTGACTGCTACCTTTTTTCTTTTTTTTTGGGGGGGGGCGGGTTTCGAGACAGGGTTTCTCTGTATAGCCT